TAACATAACATAACATAAACAACATAAAAATAACATAAAACTTAATACAACAAAATATGAAATAACATGACATGACAACACATAACATAACATGACATGACATAACATATAACAACATATAGCAAGACATAACAATATGACACACAACATAATTTAACACATTACTTTGCATGATGGACTTCAATTTGAGTAGAACTACAAACACGAGTAAAAACTGACAACCAAACTACAAACATGGCAGATACGGAGATACATCTAAGAGCATACATATTCTCAGGAATGCATACTGAAGGAATTCACTTGCACCTCTAGAGTTAAAAGTAGTATTTGACTGAAAAAATACAAGACAAAAAACAAAATCCAATATGAAATAAAAATCACAGAGCTTCCCTGAAAACATACAGCAAAACAACTGTGCAACAGGACCACCAGCTGTCCATCCATCTGTATGTTTTTTCCTACTGTTTGGCCTCTCAAACACCACAGACCTGAAACAGCACATCTGGCTTTTATTTCTTTTTCTTTTGTCCCTGAGCTTCAAAAAGCTGCAGGAAGAGATGTCTGGATGTTTCTCTGGAAGACTGACATTCCTCCTGCATCCAGTAGGGCAAACAATCTTTGTCTTTTTGAAGAACTGAAGAGGTGAACTTGGGCTTTTACACACAACTGAATCAGATTCCAACAAAAACAAAAGCAACATGTTTCCTTACAGACACGATCACAGCTGTCCAGTAAACCAGCTCATGTCTTTAACGATGAGATCTACAACAAACTGCACACACATATCATTGCACACATTTAGTTTAAAATTACATTTAAAATATATTGTCGCAGAAACATATTTTATGTAATATTTTAAAAATAAAATAAAAGCAGTCATGGTTAGTAAAAGAGACATTTTTTAAAGAATATTACAGATTGAAACAATAAATTAATAATAAAATTAATAATAATAATAATATAATAATGACATAATCATTATTAAAATATTATTATTATTATTATTATTATTATTGTTATTGTATTTAATAATAATAATAATAATAATAATAATAATAATAACAATATTATTATTATTATTATTATTATTATTATATTATTATTATTAATATTATTATATTTAATTATATTATACTATTAAGTTTAAAATATTAAAAAACTATTATATTTAATTATTATTATTGCTATTATTATTATTATTATTATTATTATTATTTAATAGTAATAATAATTACAATAGCAATAATAATAATAATAATAATAATAATAATTATTATTATTATTATCATTATTATCATTATTATCATTATTATCAATAATCATAATAAATAATAATTTATTGATTACAAATTGGGGTGACGTAGTGGCGCAGTAGGTTGTGCTGTCGCTTCACAGCAAGAAGGTCGATGGGTGCTCCGGTTTCCCCCACAGTCCAAAGACATGCGGTACAGGTGCATTGGGTGGGCTAAATTGTCCATAGTGTGTGTGT